TCCTTACACTGCTGAACCAGTGTACCAAAGTCCCTCGAAGCAGCTCCAGCAATATGCTCAGCAATCACCTCACTAAGTCCCTTACGGAACTTAGCAGCCAGAAACATCGGAGTAGGAGAAACCATCCTGAAGTGTGCAAACTTCACCAGCTCATTAAACTTGGCTAAGTACTCGTCAACAGTCATCGAGCCATGAACCAATCTGTCGAACTCCCCCTGCTTCCTCTCCTGCGCATCATAGGGAAAGTATCTGTCCAAGAAACACTCCTCGAAGAATGGCCATGTCAAAACACGACCCTGCATCTCATAAGCACGAGAGGTGTTCGTCCACCACTCATGGGCATCGCCCTCCAGCATATAAGTCGAGAACATCAGCTTCTGCGGATCTGTACACTGCATGACCCGAAATATCTTGTCCAGCGACTCCAGCCATCTAGCAGCAGCAATAGGATCCAAAGACCCCTTAAACACAGGTGGCTTATGCTTCCTGAAAGCATTCAGCCGGCGGTCTATCACATCACGATCCTCAGCAGGCTCTACAAGAGTCTCCCTCGTCTCATCGACATGAGCAGCACTGCCAATGTGACTAAGGCTCTCATCCTGAACACTAGGTGGAGGCGGCGGCGGTGGCGGTGGTGCATGGCCTACAGCAGGACCAGCCCTCATCTCCTCCAACATGACTCTCATCATCGTCATGTTCGCCATCCTGTTCGCCTCGAGGACATCCTCAGTGGTCCTCCGGTTCGCTTCACGAACCTCTTCTGCGGCTATCCGGTTCGCCTCGCGAACAGCATCCATCATTGCCGCGTTGGCCAATCTAGTGGCCTCCTGATCGGCTAACCTAGCCGCCTGCATCTCAGCCAATGTAGTTAGGATATGATCGGGTTGATCCTCAGAAGTCTCTCGTGTTCTCCCAGACCTTACCATGACTCTGCACAAGTTACACAAATTATGAGTTGATCAGGCCCACGCAATGTGATTACATATGCATTATCATAATAAAATTCGACGGAGTAAACACACAAGAAAGACACAACCAAACATCCTAGCTATTGCAATACATACAGGCTTTTCCCTCGAACCATTGCTCTGATACCATAAATGTAACACCCCGTATATATCCGGTAATGTTATCATACTATCGTATTAAGCAGCGCTTAATTAAAAATGCGGAATATCTTTTTCTTTTCAATTATGATGTCATTATCATTACCAACTTTCTTATCAATCAATTAATAAAACAACGCCTGTATGTAATTGCAATGAAACAACTATCTGAATATACCTCATAACATATATAATAAAAGTGTGGCTCTAGTCACGGAACTACAACAACGTAGACCGGACCATCTAACAGTTTATACAACTCCAATCTAAAGCACTAACATAAAGTGTCATGGACAATCCCCATGCTCACTCAAATAAGGCAACACCCCAACATCAGTCTCAACAACAACATAAACATAAATAGCGGAAAACATAAACAACATCCATATCCAGTCATGGCAGCAAACAACATAATATCATCAACTAAGCTCTGGCCTCATGCCGCCAGAGGCATCAGTCACCAAACTACCGGAACCTGAAATAAGCATTCCCCAAACGTGGGGTGAGATCTCTAAACAAGAAATCTCAGTATGACAAGCGGTCCTCAAGGATCTTCCACCCCAAGCTCACTTACATGTGCAATATAAGTTTAAAAGCAGATATCATCATCAGCTCTAAAATAGTGCAATGCAGCAGATAATCATGTCATGTGTGTCAATTCTATTCTACTGGCCAGAGAAATGCAGGATTTACATACGCCAAATACCCACACTAGTCAAGAAGCTACTTGCATTCACCTCGGATCACTATATCGTATGACGCTACATACTCAGGCTTACCGTCAAGATGAAACAACACATGCATATTAAAAGCCATTACACATAAAGCTTAACAGAATTTCAAATATTCAAAGCATGTAACACAGCATGCATACAACCACACCCCCATGGGACATGGTGGAACCACAACATGGCTAAACCGAGGACACGGAAGCTTCCATTGCAAGCTAACACCCAAGGCCAAGAGTCCACAGCTCAAAGTCCAAACACAGCAGATTCACAATTTGTTATGGACCAATACTATATCACTAATAATGCAACACAAGCATATAACTTAAAGACAATGCCTTCCCTTACGTTTTACGTCTTAAGGCTCCATACCAAGCCATAAGTCCTTAATCACAACGATTCTGACTTAGTTCATTAATTACAGAAGTTCAACTTCATCAATCTAGGGTCCACAAACCCCCAATAGCCTACTGTACACACAACACAGCTACTGTTCTACGAAATCCCAGAATATCCGGATATTCCTCGAGACCATATCCGGATATTCAATATCCGGATATCTTACTGGACATATCCGGATATGCAATATCCGGATATCCAGAATCCCATATCCGGATATCTAATATCCGGATGTCCAAATCTCATATTCGGATATCACATATCTGGATATTGCTCGGGCACATATCCGGATATTTCACGACAGAATGCAGAAACTGCATTTCGTGAAGATATCCTTCCAAGGTTGGGTTTTTACCGATTTTAAACACCTAAACATGCATTTCTAGGTGTGTTTGACCAACCCCAACATTAAGTTATCATCTTTTAACCTTTACATGCATCAAGGTTCCATTTTTAAGCTTAAAAACTCAAGATCAAAGGTGATGAAGCTTACCAAAGCTCAAACTCAGAAAAAGGGTGCTCTTGGAGCTCACACAACAGCTCCAAGGTTCTGTCTCTCACTGTACACGAAAATGGTGGTCAAGAGTGATCCTTTCACACAAAAGTTCACTCCTTAAAGCTCCCACAACCAACACAAAGCCCCAACCACACCAACACCAGAACTCAGCCCCAAACCTTGACTCACACCAGCTCCCACAACTCAGAAGATGGGACCTCAACCTCCCAAGACACTCACCCAAGTGTTTACTCAACCAAAGAGAAGAAGAAATGGAGCAAAGGTGGTAACTTGGCTCACAAATGGAGGAGAAAGGGTTACAAAGGGGTGGCTGACTTCAAGCTCAGCACACTCACGTAGAGAAAATAGTGGCACCTAGGGTTTAGTGCCAATCATAAGGCTATATATAGTGGTTTAACAATTAAACACATAGTATTAACTTTAATTGCTACGCTTAGCATTTTAATCCCAAACTCTGGATTCTTAACCTACTCATTTTTACAAGAATTATCATATTTTTCTTATAATTTTCTGAGCACCTTTCCGGTACGCGCTTTTCAAAGCCAGTACCGGTTTCTAGCACCAGTTCTCATTATTTGGACTTGAAACTCGTTTTACAAGTTCTACATATCATTCTAGTAATTATCATGCACTTATTATAATTTTCCGGGATACTTTTTCGGCACGCATTTATACCGACTAGCAGAACCGGTATTTGCACGTTTCTTCCGAAAAGCGACTTTCAACATTATTACTCACTTACTATAATTATTAAAGCCTCATAATAATTATTAGGGTCAATTATGGAATCATTTCCTATTTTCACATAATTAATTAATTAAATACCTTAATTAACGGTGTGAGTTCTTACATGGCCCAATGCGTATCAAGCCCAAATCACACACGGTTGAGACTCCTTAGATGGTTACTGGCCTGGGCCTGGTACTGTTGATGTGGGATGAGCCTAAGCTCTTTGTCCTTCGTCCTTCACGTAGCACCGGATTTGGGGGGGGGGGGGTACCTGCGAAGACACTCTGACGCTCAAGTCAGTATCAGAGGCAGGTGTTTATGTTGTGAAAGTAAATGATGATCGTACCTTGGTGGCATAACGTATGTTTATATAGTAATCGAGATGTGTGTTTGGAGGAGACCTTTCTTCATGGTGAAGGCAAAGGTTCCTTGGTGCCAACGTAGTGTGGCTGTCATGGTTTAAATGTTGAGGAGCTTGCCGCCATGGTGTCTATTAGTAGAGTTGTGGCGAGCTGGAGCTGTCCATTGCTTACTGGTGTGAGGGCGCGGTGGTGTTGCCTTGGCCCTTAAGTTTACTGTCTGTAGAAGGTATCCCGTTGCGTGGGGAGTAAGTATATCCTGGATGTTGTGATGAGGCACTGCGCCGTGTATGACGCAATGGGACTATCGCGCCTGGTGTTCCGTGATATGGACATCGCGCTGGTGTGACGCGATAGGGTTATCGCGTCCCGTGCCTGTCTTTTATGCCTTGTTCCAGGTCCTTTATGGGCTTGGGCTTCCATGTGTTTATTGGGCCATGGTTAGACCTATATTATATCCGGATCAGTTATAAATTCTTTTATGCTTATAGAATCCCAATATGCTGAGTACAATTCACTCATGCAATTTCATAAATATTCCAAATATCTCTTAATCTTTTTAAGAAATTTGTTTGCTTATTTCTTATAATAACCAACTTAAGACAATTATTTACAAACTCCTTTTGAAAATAGCTAGCCACTATATGGTTATCAAACAAAAATAAAGTTGTCCATAATTAAGTGGCATCAAATTTTTTTTAAATGTTTTTGACTTTCGGTGCTCCAAAATACTAAAAAACAAAAAAATTCCTGTTTTATATGGTGTCCAAGCGAGAGTGGGAAAAAAAAAAGCACATGTTTACGGAAAAAAGAAGAGACCGGAAGTCTACAAAGTGAGAGCAGATCTTGCGTGCAGTAATTGAACTTGACTCTTTTTTATCAATCAAGTTGCGAATTTTGGCTCATATTTGAATAGCAGCAACAAAAATTGAAACTTTGAGGGTCCATTTTTACTCAAGTGTCGAGATCATGCCCATCAATTTCTTCACAGAATGATACGCTAGACCAAGTCACTCTAATAAACAAAAAAACGTTTGTAACATTTTCACCATAATCCTCACAACAACCCCTTTTGCACACGTGTCATCCTGCTAAATCAAGATTGAAACAAAAAACTTTGTAATTATTTATTCGTGTTCTTAGCAAGGTAGGAGTGGAGGAAAGAAGAAGACACGGGTTACTTATAATATTGATTACAACATAGCAAAAAAGCTCAAGCCATGGAAGAGATAAAGAACCCATCTGGGACTTCTCTTCTGGTACCATCAGTTCAAGAGTTGGCTAAAGAGAACATATCTACTGTTCCACCAAGATACATTCAGCCTCAACAAGAACACTTGGTCATCTATGAAGCTGATCCTATCCTTGAGGTTCCAGTTATTGACATGAAGCGCTTGCTTTCTGTAGAATCTGGGATTTCAGAATTGGCTAAGCTTCACCTTGCTTGCAAAGAATGGGGATTCTTTCAGGTCTCTTTTCTCTTCTTATCCTTCAATTTCTTAAAACTATCACTCATCAGTGTTGGTTTCTGAACTCTAGAAACTTTAGTTATATCAAAAGAATCACTTAATAGCAGTCCTTGTCAACATGTGCTTTATTAGAAATTTCAAATTATCAATTGATTTAATTGTTAATCCTTCTTGTAGTTGGTAAATCATGATGTTAGTACTTCCTTGGTGGAGAAAGTGAAGTTGGAGATTCAGGATTTCTTCAACCTTCCAATGTCAGAGAAGAAAAAGTTTTGGCAAACTTCACAGCATATGGAAGGATTTGGACAAGCATTTGTTCTGAGTGAAGACCAAAAACTTGATTGGGCTGACCTTTTCTACATGACCACACTTCCAAAACACTCAAGAATGCCCCACTTATTTCCACAGCTCCCTCTTCCTTTCAGGTTCTCTTCTCTTTCTCTCTTATGTGTGTGTTAATGTAAATGGTACAGGGGAGTCTAAAACCATGGCCCAAGAGACAGTCACAATAAAATGGGTTTTGACAATACTTGGCCCAGCCAAACCGTGGATCACATGAACATGACATTACATCTAAATCCAAAATCTTAAGGCAATGAGTTTACGAGTCTTTCTCACTTATATAGTCCTCACTTGATCCAATCCTATCAACGTGGGACTTTCCTCTTATATTTGAATTTCATTTCCAACAATTTATGTTTACATATTCATATCTCAGAGTTTTGCATGTCTATTCACTGCTGTTGGTCATGCAGAGACACTCTAGAGCTTTATTCACAGGAAATGAAAAATCTTGCCATGGTTATTGTTGCACATATGGAAAAAGCTCTGAAGATGGAGGAAATGGAAATGAGGGAGTTGTTTGAAGATGGGATGCAGTCGATGAGGATGAACTATTACCCTCCATGTCCAGTACCAGAAAAAGTTATTGGCCTCACACCCCATTCAGATGGAGTAGGTCTCACCATCCTCCTACAAGTCAATGAAGTAGAAGGGCTCCAGATAAAGAAAGATGGCATGTGGGTTCCTGTTAAACCCCTTCCCAATGCCTTCATTGTTAACATTGGTGACATGCTAGAGGTAATATATCCATTCATATAACAATTTTATAATATCAACTAGTTTAAGAAGATTCTTGAAATTCTAGTTTTGTTTGGTTGTTTTACATGGCAAGATTATAACTAATGGGATATACCGAAGCATTGAGCATCGAGCAACAGTGAACTCTGAAAAAGAAAGGCTTTCAATTGCAACATTCTGCATCCCTAGAGAAGATGGAGTGATAGGTCCAGCAGCAAGCTTGATCACTGAACAAACACCAGCACGGTTCAAAAGAATTGGAGTAATTGAATACTTGAGGATCCTATTTGCTCGTAAACTTGAAGGAAAGTCTTACCTAGATGACTTGAGAATATAAAAGCATCACCATTCAAGCCATTAAAATGATTGGCCTACTCTACTCTCATATGCAATTGCTTTGTTAATAACAAGTCAGAACAGAATGAAGCCTCGTAAACCATAAGGAATAAGGCCCAGCCAAATTGGTCATTTTCTTTGTTGATTAGATATGCTTATGTGCTCCTCAATCACCCTATGGTTCTGTTCTAGCTATATAATTATGTTACGTGCAAGATTGAAAGAAGGAACCGTTCTCAGCTTTTTTGTTAGTTTGCTATTACCCTTTTAATTGGGTTAAGTAACATATTATTTATATTATTTGTGTAATGCGTGGGCGCTTCAAGAATCAATGACTATCTCCACATACTAACACGAGATTTTTCAGTGTGCTTTTTCCTCACTCGCACACTTCCTAAGAAAACTTACCAGGAGGTCACCTATCCCAGAATTACTGCAAGTCAAACACGTTTAACAATGGAGTTCTTCTGTCACGAGCTACTGAAAAGTACATGCATCTTGTTAGTATAAGTAGTACCAATTAATTCTTATAAGCTATTCCAAACTGTTAAGTCAAACACGTTTAACAATGGAGTTCTTCCGCTATGGGCTACCGAAAAGTAGATGCATCTTGTTAGTATATGTAAGAACCCGCACCGTTAATTAAGGTATTTAATTAATTAATTATGCAAAAATAAGAAAGGACTCCATAATTGACCCTAATAATTATTTATGAGGCTTACTAATCATAATAAGTGATTAAAAATGCTGAAAGTCGCTTTTCGGAAGAAAAGTGCAGATACCGGTTCTGCTAGTCGGTATAAATGTGTAACGAAAAAGTATCCCGGAAAATTAATGTAAGGGCATGATAATTACTAGAATAATATGTAGGACTTGTAAAACGAGTTTCAAGTCCAAATAATGAGAACTGGTGCTAAAAACCGGTACTGGCTTTGAAAAGCGCGTACCGGAAAGGTGCTCAGAAAAATATAAGAAAAATATGATAATTCTTAGAAAATTATGTAGTTTCAGAATCCAAAGTTTGGTATTAAAATGCTAAGCGTAGAAATTAAAGTTAACACTGTGCACTTAAGTGAGTTTTGGCTATATATATGCATTTTAGCACATAAACCTAGGCACTCAGATTTGTCTACGTGACTTGGTGGCTGACTTGCACCTTATACACTGTTCCATTGCCTTCCCTTCCATTTCTTGAGCAAGCTTCCACCTTTGAGGCTTGTTCTTCCATTTAAACACTTGGTGAGGGTGAGGGTTGGCCTTGGGACTACTTTGGGGTGGTGTTTCTGAGTTAGAGAACCTGTGTGAGGGAGTTTGAAGAGCTGTGTTTGCTGTTCTTGAGGGGTGTGACCTTTTGTTGGCATTTTGATGCTTCAAGGTGTCTTCTTGTTTAGTAAAAGAGTCATCCTGTGTTCATTTTTGTGCATCCTCTTGTGGCAGTAGCTTGAGTCTGGTTGTGAGCTCCAAGAGCATCTCCCTTTGCTGTTTTTGAGCTTTGGTATGTATATCAACCTTTAACTTGAGTTTTAAGGCTTAAAAATGAAAGCTTGATGCATGTTAAGGTTAAAAGATGATAACTTGTTGTTGAGTGAGGCTTAACACATCTAGAAATGCATGATTAGGTGTTTAAAATCGGTAAAAAGGGAACCTTTGAGGGATATCTTCACGAAAATGCAGAAACTGCATTCTGTCGTGAGATATCCGGATATATGTCGAACTGATATCCGGATATTGGATAACCGGATACGTGGTTTTGGGATATCCGGATATGTGAATCTGTATATCCGGATATGCATATCCGGATATGTACAATGAGATATCCGGATATTCTGGGATTTCGCAGAACAGTAGCTGTGCTGTGCATAGAGTAGGCTATTGGGGGTTTGTAGACCCTAGATTGATGAAGTTGAACTTCTGTTTTTAATGGATTAAGCCAGAATCATGGGATTTAGGGCTTGTGGCTTTGTTAGAAGCTTTAAGACTTGAAAACGTAATGAAAAGGTGTTGTCTTTAATTTGTATGCATGTGGTATATGTTATTGATTTATGTTTGGTCCATATCAGATTGTGATCTGCTGTGATTGGACTTTGAGCTTGTGGCATTGGATAGCTAGCTTAGAGGTAAGCTTTCGTGTCCTCGGTTTAGCCATGTTGTGGTTCCACCATGTCCCATGGGGATATGGTATATGCATGCTGTGTTACATGCTTTTGATGTTTTGGAAATGCTGTTGAGTTATTGTATGTTAGTGCCTTGTTGATATGCATGGAGGTGTTCCACCTATACGGTAAGCCTGAGTATGTAGAACATACAAGAGGGTGAGGCTGTGGGTGAGGTGCAAGCGATGTTCCTTGTACTACATGTAGGGAATAGACGTATTCCTACATTTCTCTGGCCAGTAGATAGTGATTACACACATGCCATAGATATCTGTTGCACTACATAGTTTTTGGAACTGATAATGATATAAATGCTTTTGAACTTATATTGCACATGTAAGTGAGCTTGGGGTGGAAGATCCTTGAGGACCCCTTGTCTTACCGAGATTTCTAGTTTAGAGATCTCACCCCACGTTTGGGGAATGCTTATTTCAGGGTCAGGTAATGTCGAGACCTCAGGCGGCAGGAGGCCGGAGCTGAGTTAGATTGTTGTTATATTATGCTGCCATGTTTGTATGCTAGATTTGTATGCTGCTTTTATGCTTATAGCTTCAGTTTATGTATTGGAGTTTTATGTTGAGACTCGTTGGTTACTATGTTTATTTGGTGAGCATGGGGATTGTCCATGACACATAGTATTTTTATGTCTTGAGTCTTTTGGAGTTGTAATAATATATCAGGATATTGTCCGGATTACTTGATGTAATGCCGTGATTTAGATACACACTTTATCTATATATTGAGGTATTTCAGTAGATGTCTTATTGCAATTTACATACAGGCGATATTTTATGAAATTGATTAAGTAATCAAGTTGGTAATTGATAATGACGTCATAATTGAAAAGAAAAAGAATATTCCGCATTTTTAATTAAGCACCGCTTAATACGATGTTGGCCATGTTCCTCCGCCACCACCTCCACCGCCACCACCACCACCACCACCTCCACCCAGTCTGCAGGATGACTCTCAGAGTCAGATGGGAGATGGCAGTCATCTTACGGGGGCCATGCAGACCGTCCCTGTTTTTGCTGAGGATCGTGATGAGATCGATCGCCGGCTGAATGCTTTCCGTAAGCATAAGCCACCTGCCTTTGATGGATCCTTTGATCCTGTTGCTGCTGCACGTTGGCTTCAGGCGTTGGACAAGATTTTTCGGGTCATGCAGTGCACAGATCTGCAGAAGTTGATGTTCGCTACTTACATGCTAGAGGGCGATGCCCATGAGTGGTGGACAAACCTTTCTCATGTCTACGAGATGCAGGGTCATGTGATGACTTGGCCTATGTTTGAGGATTTCTTCTTGGGGCAGTACTTTCCATATGACGCTCAGGAGAGGCAGCAGGGAGAGTTTGATAGATTGGTTCAGGGCTCGTTGTCTGTGGACGAGTACCTGGCCAAGTTCAACCAGTTGGTGAAGTTTGCACACTTCAGGATGGCGAGGCCTACTCCTACATTTCTGGCTGCTAAGTTCCGCAGGAGACTTAGTGAGGATATTGCTGGTTACCTAGCTGGTTCTGCTTCTAGAGATTTTGGGACACTGGTTCAGCAGTGTCGTGATATTGAAGATTTCTACAGCTCGAGTAAGGCCAAGAAGGCCAAGGTTGCTGAGGCGACGAAGGTTGCAGCTGGTAGTTCCACTTCTTGGCGAGACAGGAAGTTTGGGAACAAGGGCAAGGGTAAACCGTTGGCAGCTCGGCAGGCGCCGAGTCAGTTCAAGAGGACTTCTGCTCAGGGGAGTGCAGCGAGACCTCTTGCTCCCAGGTGTTCGGGATGCAGGAAGACTCATTTTGGGCCGTGTTCTACCGGCCAGTTGATTTGCTTTCAGTGTGGCAAGGAGGGCCACTTCTCCAGAGATTGTCCGTCGGCGACGACGAGGGTTACTGCAGTGCAGGCAGTGCCACTTCAGATGGTTCCCCTTCCACCTACTTCTGCACCGGCAGTGCCACCATCTTCTGGGAGAGTTTATACTCTGGATCGTCAGCAGTCGCATCGAGCTCCGAACCTTGTCAGAGGTACTGTTACGATTGGTTCATCAGCTGTTGATGTGTTGTTTGACTCTGGGGCTACGCATTCTTTTGTTGCTACCCCGATTGCTGTGGGGCTTGAGTTGCCCAGTGATGTGCTCTCTCCACTGATGCGGGTGACTACCGCCACCGGAGAAAGATGTGATGCTACCACTGTTCATCGCGATGTGGCGTTTCAGTGGGATGGCCGTGAGTTCTCGGTAGATCTGATAGGGTTGCCGATGGCCAACTTGGAGGTTATTCTGGGCATGGATTGGCTGTCCAAAAATTGTGTGATGATTGATTGTTGTGCCAAGCGTGTAGTGTTGTCTCTGTGTGATTCCACAGCCAGTTCCTCGCCGTACATTTCGTTGCTGCAGGCTAGGAGAGCCTTGAGAGCAGGGGCATTTGGTTATGTCATGTTGGGAGGTTTGGTGAGTGGTACACAGGAGGACATCACCGGTATTCCTGTGGTGAGGGAGTTCCTCGAGGTGTTTCCTGAGGAGATTCCTGATTTTCCGCCACAGAGGGAGATAGATTTCTCCATAGATCTGTTGCCTGGTGTGGGGCCGATTTCTTTAGCTCCATACCGGATGTCGCCACCGGAGTTGGCAGAGCTGAAGAAGCATATTGAGGATCTTTCAGCGAAAGATTTCATTAGACCGAGTGTGTCTCCTTGGGGAGCACCGGTTATCTTTGTGAAGAAGAAGGACGGGACAATGCGATTGTGCACCGACTACAGGCAGTTGAACAAGGTGACAATCAAGAACAAGTATCCCCTTCCTCGGATTGATGATCTGTTGGATCAGCTCAGGGGTGCTTGTGTGTATTCCAAGATTGATCTCCGGTCCGGATACCATCAGATTCGGGTGAAGCCGGAGGATGTCCCGAAGACCGCATTTCGCTCGAGATATGGTCATTTTGAGTACTTGGTGATTCCGTTCGGTCTCACCAATGCACTTGCTGTGTTCATGGATTACATGAACCGGATTTTCCAGCCGTACCTGGATCAGTTTGTGATCGTCTTCATTGACGACATTTTGATTTACTCCAAGACGGAGGAGGAGCATGTGGGGCATTTGAGAACTGTTCTGCAAGTGCTGAAGGAGAAGAAGCTGTATGCAAAGCCTTCCAAATGTGAGTTCTGGCTCAAGTCTGTGAAGTTTCTTAGGCATGTTATTTCT